TTCACAACCATGTCATTGATATAGGCCTCCATTGTTCGCGCTAAGCAAAGGGAGCGAACATCTTCGTGACCATTCTTTGAAAGTTGGCCTGGCGTTTTTTAACCCGAAAGACATAACCCGGCAGCAGAACAACCCCCTTGGCATTGTGAAAGAGGTAACCTCCCTATCTGGCTCATGCATTGCGATTTGATGATAAACGCGGTAAACATCCAAGAACTGAGTCGGTTGTGCCCAGCCATCAAGTCACTAGTTGGTCAATGCTGGGCAAGGAAAAACTGCCCTGGGGTAAGCTCAGTTGACCGTCTTGTAATCGACGCAGACTCGCCATTTTCTCATTTTTCTTTGTACCACAACCGTGTTGAAAGCCATCGAAGATAGTGCACTTCCTGGATTGCCCTTGCTTCAAGCAAGTTTTTGATTCTTTCTGTCACTACCTTGGCGTGATGAAGCGTTGATCTTTGTATTCTTTGAATGACAAGCCGGGCATCCAGAGAAAGATGTGTGAGTTGGTGGCAAAATAAAGTTAGATCGACGCCGGGCATGTCGTTAAGGCGTCCATGAAAACACTTCGATATTTCACACAAGAACTCCACCATCTCTCGTGTTTCTTGGGCGGGTCATGGTTGGACTCCTAATAGGAAAGGAACTTTTTTGGCACAATTCCATTCTGGGTTCTTCTGGTTCTTTGAGGCAGGCTCCTCATAAGGACACCTGTTTAAGAATTTGACAAATGATTTTTAGGTTTTCCTCAGATTATCTTCATTGATTGCTTAATTAAGAACTCAAACCCTCAGGTCTGCATCCAGACACACGCTCGAGCGAAGGAACTATTGCTCGAGCGAAGAACGAACTAACTCGCTCGAGCGAAGAAAATCTCGCTCGAGCCAAGAATGCACAGCTACAGGTCCAAATCAGATGCAACCTCTCGCTCGAGCTACCAAACCCCAGCTCGAGCGAAGAACCAAAATAATATCTCGCTCGAGCGACAAACTCCTCGCTCGAGCGAAGATCCAAAATTCTGGACAGCAACACTTGGTTTCTAAACCCAACCAACCTGAAACAAACCTGCCCAACACAGACAGGCTCGCTCGAGCGAAGACTTGGTCGCTCGAGCGACCAGACACAGAGAAGCTACGCTCGAGCCAAGGAAGCCTTGCTCGAGCCAACAACCCAAAAGCTCGCTCGAGCGAAAGAAAACTCGATCGAGCGAAGAACTCAAACCCTCAGGTCTGTAACTAGACTCACGCTCGAGCGAAGGAACTATTGCTCGAGCGAAGAACGAACTAACTCGCTCGAGCGAAGAAAATCTCGCTCGAGCCAAGAATGCACAGCTACAGGTCCAAATCAGACGCAACCTCTCGCTCGAGCTACCAAACCCCGGCTCAAGCGAATAACCAAAAATAACATCTCGCTCGAGCGACAAACTCCTCGCTCGAGCGAAGACCCAAAATTCTGGACAGCAACACTTGGTTTCTAAACCCAACCAACCTGGAACAAACCTGCCCAGCACATCCTATAAGTCCAAATGAGCAAATAAGGGACAACAACAACAACAATACTATGACAGAATCTACGGAACCTAAGTCCGGATACAATAATCAAATGGGAGAAGACCGGGGTCGCTATAACGGTGTGACCAAGAGTGGAGCGGTAGATAGGTATGTCTTTAGCTCAGCTAAGGCTCTGTCACATTTTTTGTCCCATGAAAACTTGGACTTTAAGGCTTGAAAGAAAGGGCGGCAACGATCTGACGATCGGCTTATAAATTGGTTAAGCGCGGCTGCCATCCTGGCAAGATGTTACACGTCTTTTGCAGAGTTGGGTTGCTTTAGTTCTTTTATGGCCTTGATTTAGGAAGGGTTTGCCTCAATGCCACGGTTGGTGACCAGAATATCCAAGAATTTTCCTGACCCCACGCCGAAGGCACACTTCAACGCATTCAAACGCAACTGTTGTTGTTTAAGAATGTCGAACATTTCCGCCAAGTTAGACAGGTGGTCGGCCTCATGTTTTCTCTTCACAACCATGTCATTGATATAGGCCTCCATTGTTCGGCTAAGCAAGGGAGCGAACATCTTCGTGACCATTCTTTGAAAGGTTGCCCTGGCGTTTTTTAACCCGAAAGACATAACCCGGCAGCAGAACAACCCCCTTGGCATTGTGAAAGAGGTAACCTCCCTATCTGGCTCATGCATTGCGATTTGATGATAACCGCGGTAAACATCCAAGAAACTGAGTCGGTTGTGCCCAGCCATCAAGTCCACTAGTTGGTCAATGCTGGGCAAGGAAAAACTGCCCTTGGGGTAAGCTCAGTTGACCGTCTTGTAATCGACGCAGACTCGCCATTTCTCATTTTTCTTTGGTACCACAACCGTGTTGAAAGCCCATCGAAGATAGTGCACTTCCTGGATTGCCCTTGCTTCAAGCAAGTTTTTGATCTCTTCTGTCACTACCTTGGCGTGATGAAGCGTTGATCTTTGTATTCTTTGAATGACAAGCCGGGCATCCAGAAAGATGTTGAGTTGGTGGCAAATAAAGTTTAGATCGACGCCGGGCATGTCGTAAGGCGTCCATGAAAACACTTCGATATTCACCACCAAGAACTCCACCATCTCTCGCTGTTCTTGGGCGGTCAGGTTGGATCCTAATAGAAAGAACTTCTCAGAATTATCTTCATTGATCTATACCTCCACCAAGCCTTTAACAGCCTTTTCTTTTGCCCTAGTGCCCACATCATCCAAGACACTTTGATCTTTCGGTCCTTCGATCATTTGCACGAAGCCTTTGGCTGCTCGGCTCCCATTCATGGCCACGAAACACTGCTTGGCCATGACCTGATCTCCCTAAATCTCTTCAATCACCTCCGTAGCAGGGGGAACCTCATAACTTGGTGGTAGGTTGAAGCCACCACTCGCATGGCATGAAGTTATCCTCTGCCTAAGATCAGATTATACGTGGAAGGCACCTTCAACACCCAGAACTCCACCTGCTTGACCACGGACCCTACTTTGACCGGCAAGATGATCTTCCTATGGGCCACTCCGGTTGCGAATTGAAGCTGACCAATGGCGAGGTTACTGGGGCCAAGTCTTTGTCACTTAGCTTGAGTTGCTTGAAGGCGTCATAGTACATTATTTTGACCGAGCTATTCTGGTCGATCGGAATGCGTCTAACGTAGTGACCACCAGCGTGTCATTGTGGGGCTTTTGAATTCATTCAAGATCCCGGCTTGAAAAGATGAGTGCATATGTCACCTCGGTTTTGCCCTTTTACACCACGGGCTAGACAAACAGGACTTCCCTCATATGCTTTACTTTTTTGATCATCCCACGGAGCTCCCATACCCGCGCTGGCTTGATGATACCATGGATCACGTTGATCACACACCTTGTGGGGGTGCTTCTAGGGCGGCCAAACCATTTGGCTTAGCCGAAGCATGGGGCACGGCCTTAATGCCTCCGTCAATGTAATGGTCCAAGTGACCGGCGGCCACTGACTCCTCCAAATGTTGTTTCAGAGGCAGACAGTCCTCGGTATGATGCCCTCGCTCCCCATGAAAGGTGCAGCGATATCGTGGATTGAAGCCCCTCTGTGCGTCGTCCAACTTAGCCGGAAACCGAATGTACATCTCATTGCGGATTTCGCTAAAGATACAGTAGATTGGGATCTTGAAAACCGTGGTAATGCCTGTTTGAGCGTTCAACTTTTTTTTCGCATCTGCCGTGGCATTACGAGGGTAATCAACTCGGTCGGTGCAGGGACCTTTACCCTGGTTGCTGCAGTCTTCACCGTGGTCACTCGAACGGTTTGCCTCCTGTTCTACCGCATGAACCTTTCGCTACCGAATTTTCCTTCACGGTGGCCACGGTAGCATCATCCTCTACTCAGATGTGCTCGTTGATGCATTGCATCAGTAGCTCCATGGTCGCTGGTAGTTCATGGTAAGCGAGTCCCTCAATCTATGTCTGACTGGGAGACTGCACTTGTATTGGGCGATTGCCAGGTTGGTTGGGCAATCAAGGATTTCGTTAGATGTTTCCCAATATTTGGCATTATATACTTTGAGGGAGTCACTCGGTTCCATCTTAATGCTCAGAAGGTGGTAGACTTCCTTCAGCATTTTGTGTTAGTTTTGAATCGGGTCACGAATGCTTTCCCCAACTGCTGCCACCTTTCGATACTTTCCTCCAGCAGCCTCTTGAACCATTTTAGGCCTAACTCACCCAAACTTGACGGGAAGATGAGGCACAAGAGCGTTGTTTCACCGGTATCTAGCCATAACCTGCCGAAAGTGGCTCACGTGCATCTATGGATCGATTTTTTCGTCGTAGAGCGTAAACTTGGGCTGGTGGAAACCTGCAGGGAGCGGTGTGGTCTTTGTCTCGAGGGAGAAGGGGGTGGCGCTCAGCTTCGCCAAGTCTCTGTCCAAAGGAACATGTATAACTGGGTGAGGTGGCGGCGTTACGACTTCCTCACTAGCACGACCTCTGTGGGATAACCACTGCAGTGCCGGCACCCTTTGCGCCTCCCGCCGGCGCACTCGTTCCTCCAGGACGTCCTTCAAGTCCTCTGCATGGGCAGAGTAGGAATATCTCGACGTCGTCGACAATCGTGAGGGGCGATAACTACTGTCTCGTGCGCAAGACTTCTCTACTGGCGAGTCAGAGTCACCAACCCCATAACTTCTAGTAATGGAGAGGGAGGGTGTCCGCCGTTGGTTTTGGTTGCCTAAACGACGGGGTTAGGTGCGCTCACTGTGGTTATCCACTCCAGCAACACCCTTCCCTTTGACCTGCCGCTTCAGCGCCTCCATCTCCGCCGTCATCCTTCAAATAACGGCGTCTTGGTCTCTTAGCTTATGCTCCAGGCGCTGAGCGTACGATTCTCTTCGCCACCGGTGCCTGTCGGGACTCTGTGAGGGGTCAGTATTCTTTGCGCGCTTGTCTTGCGCATCTTTGGGGAGCCCTCTAAGAGAGGTCTCCAAGCTAGCCATGGTAGGGATGGCGGAGGGACCATCTCTTCTCCGAACGGATTCCGGAGTGATGCCGTTGATGGTGGACAGTGGAACTTCGTCGTTGTTTTCCATGATAGATGATCGGAAAAACTTAGAGGACAAGGTTTTTTGCCTGTCGGAGCTTCCCACAGATGGCGCCAATTGTACGGGAGCCAAATATCCGACGTTGTTCGTACTCTTCGTGTCCAAGCTGCGCTTTACTCCGATCGATCTAAGAACACAATGAAGGTGAGCTACCCGACAATGTGCTGCCAGAAAACCCCTCCGACGGTCAAGTTAGCACACTTATAGAGAGAGAGAGAGAAAAGAGAGGAGGCAAAGTGGTGGGTGAGTTCGGATCAGAGGATGTTCCAGACCTGAGTATGGGGGCGCAACACTATTTATATAGTTTCTGCACGCACTTTTGCGCCCATTCCCCTCTGGACATGCGGACCTGCTCTCCTCTCACGTTTCCCCACATGTTAGTGCTAATACAGCTAAACACCACCTAAAGAAACCGTCAAACAGTATGGACGCGTATGAACAACGAAATCTCCTTCCTGCAGTCCTGTGGCGCTGCGTAGTACTCTCTACAGAGCTACGCTTGGCACAGGGCCACGTTAACACCTTCCGACCGAGCTTCTTGTCCGGTTCCATGACAATTCCACACCGTGGCTCGACCGAGCTCCTTAGTCATGACCGAACTCTTGCTCGGTCCATCCTGATGTTGAGAGGGCTAATCCCGTCCAACCCTGTAGAGCGCACATCCCCTCTAGATTGGCAATCCGAAGTTGGCCCAACTAGACCGGACTGAGTCCTCGGTCCGGAACGCACCCAACGTTCGGCCGAGCAAGGACTTGCCTCTGGCCCAAACCAGCTTGGCGCAATATTAGGTCGTAAACCTCCATCTCAATCTCAAAATAAAAATAATAAAAAATAAAACCTATTACCTTAATGTTCGAAAAATTCAATGAAATAAAATATTAACAGTAATGCTATATTTACACTAGGGGTGATTATGAACCCGCCCAATCTGACCAAATTGATCCAATTCGATTGATTTTGGGCGGATGCGGATGATATATTTAAAAAAAAGAAGAAGAAAATCACTCAAAAAATTTCATCAAAGGCTATTACCTATTCATATTATAAGCCCACAACAATTTATTTATATTTATTTATTTATTTGTTTTCAGATGGTTTAAAGCAGCATCCAGACAAACAAGCTATCTAGAGTAAATTGAAAAAAAAAAAAAAAAAAAAACTATCGAGAAACCAAAGCACTTTCTGACTTTATTTTTCTAGAAGAACTTTAGACTGACTGTTGTCCATCATCTATTATCTCAAAATAAAATAAAATAAAATAAAATAAAACTTATTACCTTAATTTTTGAAAAATTCAATGAAATAAAATATTAACAGCAATGCTATATTTACACTAGGGGTGATTATGAACCCACCCAATCTGATCAAATTGATCCAATTCGATTGATTTTGGACAGGTGCGAATGATATATTTTAAAATTTGCGAATACGGTTCAGATGGCGAATCAACCATTCTGCATATGCATAAATCTGATTTGCTTGTAGATCAAAAAAAAAAAAAAAAACTAACAAGTAACAACGTAGAATATAAATAATAAAAAATATATTTTTATGAAAACAGAAAACAATATCTTAAAAAAATAGGGTGAACTACTAATAGGTTCTAATAGTTGGACTTAATTTTCATCAAATCTTATTGAAAATAAATCCTAATAAAATTGTAGCTAAAAATAATTTTTTTATGACAATTTTTTGCATGTCGCTAAAAATAGACAATTACTGACTTTTTTCTGTCACGATTTTTATAAATTGTAGCCAAAACTTATAATTAATGAGGTTTTTCTGTGACAAAATTTTCAAACTATCGCTTAAAGTTGAAAATTAATGACTTTTTTGTGACAATTTGTTTAAACTATCACTAAAACTTATAACTAGTGACATTTTTTATGACAATTTTCAAATTGTAGCTCCAAATTAACAATTAGTGACCTTTTTTAATAGTGTTTGATGAAAAACGCCATTAATTTTCGTATGACCTATTGAACAATAAGTCAACCTATTAGAACCTACATGTAAGTCTCCTTTAAAAATAGGGTCCAGCTTGTCTCAAGTTGAGATCAAGACTAGACCCGTCCAGTTCGGCCCATGGGGTCCATTTTTTGGGCCCGTTTTGATAATCCGAACCGTTCAATGTGTAGAAATCGTCGAGTACTATATGTCTATAAAAAATCACGTTGATCGGATATAAATAGCTATGTGATCAAATCAGTTTTGTATAAAAAAATGGACGGTGAAACAATTAACGGTTGATAAAAAACTGTTTTGTTCACATAGCTATCGATATCCGATCAACTTGATTTTTTACAGGCATATAGTACTCGACGAGTTCTACACATTGAATGGTTCGGATTATCAAAACGGGACCCGTGGTGGGTCCCCACGGGCCCAACAGCACGATCTAGTCCGATCTTGGACTAGACCAAAGCCACTGCCTAAAAATATACATGTGCGGTGCCATGACCTATTACAGACAAATAATACATATTTTTTCAGATTACTAGTTTTTGGAGATTGTAAAAGTTATGAATTATAATTATAATAAAAAGCTCAAAATTTATAAAGTCCAAACCGCCAAATTGATCGCATCCATCGGCCAACTAGCACGGTTCGCTCAATCCGCATCCACCAAACCAGTGGATGGAGGCGGATTGATTTTTTTTCAATCCGGTTAATTTTAGAAGGATGACGGATGTGATACTACCCGACCAAACCCGTTCCGCGATCATCCCTAATCTACACAATTTCTTTTTCACACAATCCTCCTAATGAAATGGTAAGATAGAATGTATGTAAGGAGAGTTTCGAAAGAATATTTAAATGTGATTCAAGTAAGTTTTCAAATTTTGTTGGTCGCATCATTTGGGAGAATTTGAGGGGGAAAAAATTGTGTGGAGATGAATCATTTTTCAATAGTTAATACTAGCATATCACCCGTACTATGTGCGGATTGTATTTACAATTATCTATATATGTGAATAGTGATTTTTAAATATTTTTTTAAATGTTTTCTTTTTTCCTTTTTTATATTATATTAAAGTTTAATATTTTGATAATAATCATATGTGTTGAAACTTTCAAGGAATTAAATGTCTTTTTTTTTTATTATATTATATTAAAGTTTAATATTTTGATAATAATCATATGTGTTGGAATTTTCAAGGAATTAAATGTCTTTTTTTTTTATTATATTATATTAAAGTTTAATATTTTGATAATAATCATATGTGTTGGAATTTTCAAGGAATTAAATGTCTTTTTTTTTTATTATATTATATTAAAGTTTAATATTTTGATAATAATCATATGTGTTGGAATTTTCAAGGAATTAAATGTCTTTTTTTTTTATTATATTATATTAAAGTTTAATATTTTGATAATAATCATATGTGTTGGAATTTTCAAGGAATTAAATGTCTTTTTTTTTTATTATATTATATTAAAGTTTAATATTTTGATAATAATCATATGTGTTGGAATTTTCAAGGAATTAAATGTCTTTTTTTTTTATTATATTATATTAAAGTTTAATATTTTGATAATAATCATATGTGTTGGAATTTTCAAGGAATTAAATGTCTTTTTTTTTTATTATATTATATTAAAGTTTAATATTTTGATAATAATCATATGTGTTGGAATTTTCAAGGAATTAAATGTCTTTTTTTTTTATTATATTATATTAAAGTTTAATATTTTGATAATAATCATATGTGTTGGAATTTTCAAGGAATTAAATGTCTTTTTTTTTTATTATATTATATTAAAGTTTAATATTTTGATAATAATCATATGTGTTGGAATTTTCAAGGAATTAAATGTCTTTTTTTTTTATTATATTATATTAAAGTTTAATATTTTGATAATAATCATATGTGTTGGAATTTTCAAGGAATTAAATGTCTTTTTTTTTTATTATATTATATTAAAGTTTAATATTTTGATAATAATCATATGTGTTGGGACTTTTCAAGGAATTCATATGTGTTGGATTTTAAAGAATTTTTTTTTATGCTTGTTCTTAATTCATTAAAGTGTTATTATGAGGGTAAGACTTGGGAGTTGGGAAAAGTTAATAAATGTTAAGATTTTTTTTTTAAATAAAAAAATCAAAAAATTTAGATTGATAGATTAGAGCTCCCACAAGATTTGGGGTTAAAAACTCTATTTTACTTAATATATAGTATAGACTAGTATATCACTCGTGCTATGCACGGATTGTATTTACAATTATCTATATATGTGAATTGTGATTTTAAATG